GTTTGTGGATCATGTTATATGTATATTATCTTTGACATTATTTTTTATGATCTATCGTGTGACATCATCTATATCATTAATTTTGAATCTTGCAATTACATTAATGTACTGTCACCCTCCACGAAATATTCAATTAGATTATACAACTACGGAAGGAAAATAAATATTTACATTTATTATTCGCCTAAGTATAATAAGGATTAAAATAATTATATTAACTTCTGTGTTTAAAGCAATTAGTACGTTAATTAAATTAATTCAGGGAGCTTTCTTTGTATTGAGCATTGAAAATTAAAATATTTTTAATTATAAGAGTAAATTCATAACTCATTCTCTATTTTAAAATGTTAATTTGAAGACTCACTCGTAACATAATTTTAAGAGTTGACACTTCAAAATAAAAAGCATTTTTGATTTTACTTTTGAAGAATTTCTTAAAAATGCTTTAAGAAAATTTCAAATCAATAGGCTTTCTACGTCAAGAACTAGATAGATATGGGAAGTTGAAGTTTTCCTTCGTAGAGTAATTGAAAATTATGTATACCAGATTTTGAAAAAGCACATATAGTGATGTCTAATTTCCTTGCATTTATGTTGATTACACAGCTGATGTTCATAGGATTCAATAATATGCTTATATATACTCGTATTTTAGTATTAGTTAATACTGTCCAATAAATTTATCAAAAAACTTTTATACATAGATAAAATGATATATAAGTTTTTGAATGCTTGGCTTTGGGTGGGACGGTCCGAATATTTCAATACTCGAAATCATCTATTACACTCAGTGGCAGATTTAGGGTCATGCAAGCACCAACCCACTAGGTGAAAAGAAAGATTATGTGTAATTTTTTTTTACCTATTCGCTCGCGTCATAAGAAAAAAATCAATCATGGATCTGCCCCGATTACACTTTGAATATTTCATCTATGAAATCATTCGGGTTCACATAATTACTAAAATAATCAAACTCGAATAGTCGGTTCGGGTTCGTTCAACCCATATCATTTTTCATAAAAATAGTGAGCAATATAATACAATACAAACTATCTTCCCAATATCTAAAAAATATAATATAACACCAAATACATATTTCGATACTTTATTAATCAATTGCAAATACGCCACCAAATAGCATATTTAACATAGTAGAATTCAATTCCAATTGTGACTCCTCAATAAGGATTTGTGGGACAGGCATATCGAAAATTGTGGTAAGGAGTGGCTACTAACGAGAGCGATATGATTCAATTGTTCAAACGAATGAATTTCATCGAATAAGATACTATTTGAGCCTTGCTACTTGCTGAATTTTGCAAACTTGTTATTTTGGATCAAGATGAATAAATTGTAAAAGAATAAAAATGAAAATTTTGGTTCCTGAGCATGGTACTTATGATTACAGTTCAAGAACCAAGAATCGTTCGTAACTCGACGATTCTCAATTGTGATTCTTTTTTTATATTTGGGAATCGGATTGGAATCTTTTGTTCCGATTAAAAATGCTCACTCCTATCTATATGAGTTTGAATTGTCGTCACCAAAAAAAGGAATTTATATTTTTTTATATAATTATTTATGTTGTATTTTCAATGAGAAGATGTAAATATGCCCATTATCAAATATTTACATCCCATAACTTTCATAGTTGAAATACAATAATGCTTAAATCTTTTGTCTTACGTTATCTAATATTATGTTAAATCATCTTATTTTAATAATAAATATTACCAATAATTTGATTATCTAGATTGGTCGTGTAGGCTGACATAATATTTTTCTCATCATTGACTCGGCGCTTCAATACTCTGGACTAGGTTTGCCGTGGGTTTGGGTTCTATACGCTGTTAAACTTTGATTGAGCTAAGCATGACAAAATACACAGCTTTGGACTTGAATCTGGATTCTTAAATTATTTATTACAAACCTACGATGCAACGCATAAGACTTTTTCATCCTGAAAACCAATCAGGTACATTGAACCTGGACATACCCATTATAGTCTATAATATCCCTTGTAACATATGATATCCAAAACCATAATACTTCATTAGTTTGAACACTAAAGGCTAAAGCCAATTAATTTCGCTCTGAATTCTTTTTCTCATCAATTTGGTACAAAAATGGCTCCTGCCATCGCCATCTCTCCCGCACAAACGAAACCGCAGCACCGCAGTGAGCTGCCGGCATTGGCAGAGCTCGAGGTGTTGCACAAGAGAAACGAGGAGTTGGAAAAGGAATTAAAAAGGAGCCTGGAAAGAGAAGAGAATATGAAACAAGAATTGCAAAGAACGTGGGAGCGGCTGAGGGTGGCAGAGGAAGCAGAGGAGCGTCTTTGCTCCCAACTCGGCGAGTTTGAGGCGGAGGCTGTAGATCAGGCTCGCTCTTACCGAGCCCGATTAATGTCATTAATGGAGCAGCTTTCTGCTGCACAAAAACTTCTTCAACAAGCCACCATTAATTCTGTCTCCAGTTCTCAATGATCTTGCACCATTAATCAATTATGAAAAAAAGCACTTGTAGTCTTATTTATTTTTGTTTTCATTTATGATTCAAGGGTGTTTCAAATAATCCGTTGGATTTTTGTACATAATGCTCTCAACTTCTCCAAAGTTATCTTGATGGGAGATTTGTGTATGGTTTGATTATTGATGGTGTTAATTATATTTTTCTTCTTTCGTTTTATGCCTGTTTATACTTTATTCTTTCTCATGATCACTTCTTTCACAATTCAGTAATTTGGAAAACAAAATCATATAAATCAACCATGGACTAGATCTGATCCAAAATCATCTATGGGAGGTAGATTTGATAAAGGAAAAGAAAGGTTTTGTATTTTTATAGGGTTAACTTTTAAGTTGGTCAAACATTATTTTAAATTCATAAAACACTTGAGATCTGTTTGAGTCTCATTCTTTTGTTAAAATGCATTTTGGAATAGTGATTTGATGGAGAATGTATGGTTAAAAAAGAAAGAAAAATTTTGAATTTGCGTGTAATATTATTTTATCGAAAAATGTGTGATTGAAAAGGAAAAAAAGAAAAATGTATTTTGAAATTAATAAAGATCAAACAAGGATTTAAGGAATTGTAATAAGTAGAGAAACAGCAATTTCAGTAAAGAAAAATAAAAAAATTAATTAATTAATGAGCCCAAGATGCTTGTCCCACTAATGTGCAAGTTTATAGGGTGAGTTGAGCCACAACTTTGATAGAACAAGTCGGCTTGGGTGGTGTGCTAAGCCGAACCCAATGCTAGACAAGTCGAGTGATTCAAATAGATCCATTTAACACCTCTAAATTGTTCCAAGAAATTTTTGTTTGATGAGACTCTGTCCCCACGAAATGGTCTATTATTTTGATATAAGGAACAGACAGTAGCGTACATACGTAGACAAAATTAATGTTAATCTAATATGACCAAACTAGTTGTCCATTGATGCCATCGAGTGGCAAATATTGTGTGCCGCGGCGAAATGCACAAACTAGCTTTGAAACTTACGTGTAAAGCAAGACAAGTGAATTTGAGAAAGTCAATTGTCTTGGCATTGTGATACCCATTTTCGAGCATTAAAATTTGCAATCTAGTTTCCTCTAGAAGAAAGAAATTTGGAATTATAGTTGCCTGCCAACTTTTTATAGGTTGATTCTCTTTTCACACCAATTATTTCAATAAAATATTGTTTCCAACTAGCTAATCATATGCAAGATCTTCCTCGAACAAATCCTCAAGCCCATATACATTTTTGGATTACAGCAAATTTGAATGTCCTATATTCATTGCTAATATTATAATCATTCATTTCTCAAGTTCGAGTTACCCTTACGGGGTATGTATTTAAATTTGACATAATCAAATATCGTAACTAAGTTTAGAGTATCTTGTTAAACTCATCTCAAATGTTTGTAATATGACAACTCAACCCAATTAATATCAAGCAAGAATCCATGTCAAATCGACCCATGTCAAGTTAGAAAAATAGGACCCAGTTGATCCCCACTAATAGACACGGAGTTGATATAGTAGGCCTAAGGTCAATTTTCTATCCCGTTCAAAAAAAAAAAAAAAAAGTCAAGATTTGGAAGCCAAAATAATTGAAATTTGCATTGCCAAATGTTTCACTATTCTCCCCATTGCTTGATAATCAACTCTCTGCGTTCATACGTGGATTTTCACGCAGGAGGACCACTTGTTTCACTATTCCCACAGTTGATTGATAATCAACTCTCTCATTTCATACAAGATATATATCTCTCATTTTCACCTAGAGGACTTCGAGCCATATACTTGGTAAACATTTCTTATTAAGATAATTTAGTTTCCAAAAATAGTAACTTTCTTTTACTTAAATATAGAATTGAAATAAATTATTCCCACACTTTTGGTTGTTAAACGTTCTTAAAAGTAACTTTACTCCTCACTTAAGGATTAGCAGACATCCTCAAAAAGGCATGAAAATTCAGTAATGTTTGGCTCACCACCACTACAAACAACTTTCAGTTTGACCAAATTAGGGATGGCATCATAATGGGACGGGACGGGACGGGGCGGGGCGCGAATTTCAACCAGGCAATTTCCCGCCCCATTATCCATTTATGGTGTGGCCATAGTCCCGTTTATTACCACGTTTAAGTTATTATTACTTTTTTTTTTAATTTTTTGATAATTTAGTTTAATGTCCACATTCGTCAGAGTGAGACAATAATATATTTTTT